TTATTTAAAATACTCTTCTCCAGAATACAATACATCAAGTGAAATGTCAATACAAATATCAATAAGAACTATTTATCACGGTCTTCACTCTAATCCTCATAGATATGCCTTCACTATACCGTGCTATGATGTTCTCTCAGCTCATGTTGGAAGGTCACTATATGAACCAAGATATGATGTTGATTTATTTCCAATATAAATGTTGCTCTGGTCTTTGACCTGTTAGACAACATAGCATTGTCTACTTAATAATCCTTTTGAGAAAGTTTTTTAGATATACTACCTGGGCATGCAGAAGAGTTACGGGAAGGAACTACAATGATCCCTTCTTCCTGAAAGTAAAACTTAAAATTCTTTCCCTGTTGCTCTAGGTGCTCAAAACCTCAAAGCCAAAATTAAGCCTAATTTTTGGTAGCTAAGATATCCTGTTTGAGCTCAATTTTCATATTTTAATAACTTTATAAGTATGTGTTTTACTGTAAACCATCAAATCTTTTTTGAATGAGGTTTGATATAAGTTAAAAAATACTAAGCTATTGCAGTCCAAGGCTTTAATCATCAGCTTGGTAAGGGATCAAATGACAAAGAATTAGTCTAGATATGAGGGACAGCAAACTTTTTCTGTGAAGGGTCCAATGATAAATATTTTAGGTATTGAGAGACATGCAGTCTCTGCTGCAACTAACTAGTCAACGCCACCGTTGTAGAACAGAAGTGGCACAGCCGTACAAAAATAAATGTGTGGCTGTGTTCCAGCCAAACTGTGTTACAAAAACAGGCGTTGGGCTGAATTTGGCCCGTGGGCCTCCAATTGCCAACCCTTGGCAAGAAAATCAGTATGGTCATTCACTTTTTGAATTTCTTTAGAAAATATTCCATGTATAATCCCCAAATTCTTAAAAACAAGAGCAATTTCAAATTATAACAGTGACTCCTATTCTGTAGCTTTGATAGCTGTCAGCATTTGTTTTCTATGTGAACTATATAATACATTTAATTTAAAAGTGCAAGATGCATTCAAAAGTAGACAGAAACTTGCTAAATATGCACTATTCTTCAATTTTCATTTTTAACATATGCATATAAAGAATTTTACCCAATGATAAAATCTACTGAGTCAGTCTCTCGGACCACATGCTACTTGAATGCTACCATGGAGTAAGTTAAGAAATTTTGGGAAACATCTACTATCTTTTAGGCCAGTATATTATTCCATGTACCGAAGCACTGATTTACAAAATACTACCTAGATACCAGGAAAGGGAATAATTGGTTGGTCCTTCTATCTTTTCCTTTAGAGAATTATGTGTTCTTATAAATGCAGAGACAAGGATATATTTTTCCAAAGCAAGGATTGAAGGACCATAAAAGTATGTTTTACATTCTAAGTATTAACAGGCCTAAATCTAAAGACAACTGTGCTTTACCTGTCCTCAAAATCAGCCTAAATATGAAATGCTTGTAAATAACTATACAGTTAAATCTTAAGTCGTGCAATGGCATTTTAGCAAGCTGACTTTTGCATTTTATTCTCAAAATTAACTCTAAAGATTGTTACTCCATCTTTCTTGAACCAATAGTATAGCCCTAGGTCAATGCTCCCCAAACTGAGTTACACATCAGAATGACTTGTTTCCATTTTTAACGCATAAATTTCTGGGCCCCACTCCCAGACTATTGAATGAGAACATATTGGTTGGGTTTTACTGTGTCTACTCCCAGAACTCTCATGGAGGTGAAAAAAGTGATTAAAGTCTTACCACATCCTATTGTGAAATAAATATCATCACTGCCTTTAACAAATACGAGAACAAGGGCTCAGAGAACTTTTGCCCGTTTAGGGTCATGTAGCCACAGCCCTATCCTGCCAGAGAGAGCCACCAGCTTCGGTTATGTCACTAGAATGGGATTAGCCATATTCTATTTTAGAACCGGAGACTTTTTTTCTTGTCAAGTGTTTACTAAATAAGCAACATGAAAATTAAATAAAATATAAACTTCAAATGTCACTCCACAAGAACAGATTGTATTTCGTAATGGCATATTTTCTGCCTAGCCTATGACTTTTATTTTTTTTTTTAATTTTTATCTATCTCTGTTCTTAAAAGTTTTTTTTTTTTAAATGGCCCAAACTGGAAAGAGGCTACCCTTGCTTCCAAGGATGATACAGAAAGAGGTCAGCGGAAGTGACTGGGGTGGAGTCAGGAGAGGAAAGTAGGTAGAATGGACAGGTAGAACAGGAAAAATGCATTTTGTATTTAATTTCCTATGACAAGAATATATTTTATAAATGTGTCAAGTCTGCACCTGCATACTTTGCAAATTTTGTGTGAGTACTTATTTTGTTTCTAATGTAAAATTCAAATTTCAGGATAGCAAACAGCAGAAACTGCAATTGTAAAGTGAAAGATAGGTGGGTAGGTTTCTAAATCGTTCTGAGTTGCTTCCACTTCCTCCAGGCAGAGATTAAGTTTAACTGAGCCAACACAGCAGAGATTAAGTTTAACTGAGCCAACATAGCATCAGACTTTCTGCTGCTGCTCATACATTAAAATAAGCATGAGGTGAATATGTGAAACTAAAGCAAAACAAATTTTATAAGACTCAAATCTCTAGAAATTCTTTTTTGTAATAAGTTCCTCAGTTCAAACATAATTTATACATTGAACTTGTAGCCATGGCAAATAAGCTGCAATAAAAAAGTGGGTTTTTTCATATGCTAGATAATCAAGGAAATGTTAGATTACAGTCACAGAAATTTTTTTTTAATTTGGGACTCAGTGCATGTTGATCTCAGTGAAAACTATAAAACCAAGTGAAAAGCCAAAAAGATCATTTTTCTACATTCATGAAATTGCTACCCTTTCTGAGGCCTATCCAGGGATAATGTTTGACTGTACAAAGTAAAAGAATATGAAGAGTTAGGGAATGGACGTTTCAAAAGCTGAGGGAATGTGGGAGGGAGCAGCTGAAACAGCGTTTACAAATGACAAATTCTGGTGACACCATCTGCTTATCTCAGGCTCCTGGGCCCAGCAGCTCCTTTGGTGACTAGATTCTATTGCCTTCAGGCTGTCTTTGCACTTTCTTGATATTCGGAAGCTGCAAAATAATCCTCTTTTTTTTTGTAAAACTGACCCAAGGACAACAAGGGAGAGAGGAGACATATTCTCTCTGTTTTGCAACTGGAGAAAACTGAAAATTGAAACTGGATGAAAGTTGCCATGCACACATAGTCCACGCTGTGCCCATACACAGCCAGTAGACACTCCGAGGAGGCAGGGGAACGTAGGAATTCCAGACAACAGTGGTGCTGAGCACGACTCAGGAGCACAGGTCACGTGGCATGCAGGTGGTGGTTGTAGCAGTACATACAGTCAAACACCTGGTTCGGTGATGGGCTAAACTATTCTGTGGGATGAGAGACAGTTTCCCTAACACCTATTCTGATAAATGGTTTACTTACAATATCATTTATGGATGTTCTAGAACTCTAGATTGGTCCATCTTATTAGAACCAACCACAATGAGGTTTATAAAATTTGTTTCCAGCCTTCTTTGATATTCCAGAACTTCGTCTTCCCTTGTGTTTTTCTCAGTTGCTTCCAGAAGCCTGGAGCTCTATGTTTCCATACTACCACTTAGGGGGCAGGGACCAGCAAATGGCATTCCTGGAGGCCTGTCCTCATGGCCCACACTCTCCACACTTTTAATACCTTTTTATTCACCAGAGTGGATTTCGGGGGTCTCTACTCCCTGGGAGTTTTGCTAGTTAAGTAGCTTACAGCTTTACAGCCAATGAGGTAAAAGGTGAACATAGGAAGGAGTGATTATGGCTAAATGTCCCCCAGCCTCCTTCATTCACCAGCGTAAACCTAGCACTTTAAAGAGTGAGGGGCCACCTAACTGAAGAAGAAGTGCTATGACGATGGCAAGATTGTTGAAACTTAAGTGAAAAATACATATTACTATGGTACCAGGATCTGCATATTCTCTCCCAAAGGAAACCACTGCTGAGATCAGCAGTTGATTCAAATTGCTTTTTCTTCCCTCCCTTATAAAGAGAAAAATCTGATTTTCTCATGTTGAATGAGCATTCCACATCCTTGTAGATCTAATAATGATACAGTCATGCAGAATAATGGGCAAAAGAGAGACTGACACAACAAGGAGGTGAAGAGGACAAGTACACAAGTGAGAGCTGGCACAAAGGGGTTCAAATCCCACTCTTCACCCCAGGTTTAAGAAACAGGGTGAGTCATTTCACCTCTTAAAACCTCAGTTTCCTCTTCTAGAATATTGGGGAGAGGGTCTAATATTTCTTAATCTTAGGGTGCTCAGGAGATTTCAGTGAGCATTAAATGAGATCATGAATATAGAATACAATGCAGTATATGTCATAGGGGTAGTTGCTAAGTGTTGGCTGTTCTTGTCATTGCCCTTTTTTTGACTCTCATCATCTCTTCAGTGATCTTTTCAAATAACTTGTTGAAACTCTTGTCTTTATTTTTCACTTCAAATGAAAGAAATAAAAGTATTTGACTGGTAATAGCATGTGTGATAAATATCCACGCTTCTTTCACATTTAGAGACAATCTGTGAATCACATTTAAGCTGGTTTCTTGAAACAATTTCCAGCACATTCTACTGGCAGTCAGATGAATTGGCAATTTTCTTAAAATATGGAGCAGTTTGATGCTGGGAAGAACATGTATTCAAGCTCATAAACATAAACATTTTTTATGTAGCATTTAAACATGAACTATGCAACTCCAAGTGCTACAAAAGTATAAACAAAATAATTTCAAGAAATAAAGACATATAGCTGAAGAAAAACTGAGAGGAAGCAGAAAAAGAGCCAAGTTTTCTATGATGCAAGAAAGTTGATCAGTGGTAAGAATTTGTTTTAGTGAATTTTTTAGAGGAAGATAATAGCACATTCCAGAAATTATCTAATATTCTATGTCAAGACACTTTGGTAATTACTTTCGTATTCTGACCTTTTTCTAGCAGCTCCAGCCCAGGGTCAGCACCAAGCCTTTCTTCAGCAATGAGCACTGTGTACTGAAGTTGAGTGAGAATGTACTGGTGGAGCCGAAGCTCTGTTTCGCTGTAGGAAGGAGGCCTATAGAGTATGGCCCTTCTGCCATGGCTGCCAAAGTGCGTCTCAATTGATTCTTCAATCTAAAAAAGAAAGAAGGCATAAAAATACAAGGTGAAAAAGTTGCACATTTCTCTTGAGGGACATCATTAATGTAAATCAAGAGCCATTCAGAAAGTTATTGTTTAATTTTCCTCTAGACATAAAAGACAGACTCTATGAAAGGCTGACGAGGTCAAAGACAACCTCATATGTAAGATAGGAAGGTGAACTGAATTTTTCTCACTGTTACAGAAAGATGAAAATTTGGGGCCATTAAAATATAGAGCTCCTAGAGGAATACTGTGGCATAGAAATACACAGCTCTACTTTAACTGAAAATGTAAATTTTAGCAATGCCTTTCCTTCTGCATTATGCTCTTATAAAGTAGTTCCAGCTGCCTTATCTTATAACAGGTCTTTTAGGTAAACATTGTGGAGGAAACAGATTCAGAGAGAGAGTGTGGATTTTGTGCTGGAAGGAACTGTTCAGGAAGTGGCAGCGCTGAGAAGTAATCCCAGGGCTTTTTGGAGGCATGCCTTGCTACAGCTTTTCTCAGGATGCAGCAAAACTGGAATGCATCTCAATGAGACTGGATGGATCTTTGTGTGAAGAAAGCTACAAACGTATCATAATTTCAGGTTCTCCCTTCAACAGTTCACTGTCTTCCAAATAAATATTCCTCTTTCTCATAATAATATTTGAAAATTCCATTAACAAAAGGGGACTTTCTAACTGACAAGTAGAAAGGATGATGACATTCATTATAAGGTTTAATGGCAGATACTGGGTGTTTTCCTGAAAACTTGAGAGTAACTCATGAAAACTAGATATTTTTATTACTGGAAGGAGTGAAGAGACTGGATGGGGACCAGGGCAAAAATGGAAGAAGAGGGGACCAAGGAATTGGAGGAGGAAGATGAGTGAGAAGAGGTAAACAGCAAAACTGTGAATCCAAATTACGTTCAGTGGCAGTTCTGAAACAAACTGTCCATTTTATGTATCTAAAACACAGTATGCACCATGTCTTTTACTGCTTAACTTTCTTCATTATTTCTCATTCCTTACAGAATCAATTCCACATCTTTATCAAGGAACACAAGGCCATTCATACTTGGACCCTATTTCCTGATTTCTGGTCATATCACCCTCTTAATAATTTACATTCCTGAGTCCACCCTGACCCTTCAACAAACATAACACTGTGCCTTCACCTGCGATTCCTTCTTCTCTCTCCATTTATCCCTCTAGCAAACTCCAAATCAAACACTACCACTTTTGAAAAGTTCTGTACTTTTTCAAGAAAAGGATGTAATTGAAATATATCCTTCCATTAGCACTCATGAAACTGCATATCTCCCTGATGTGAGCTCCTTAAAAGGCAACCTGCATTGTCCTTGTCTTCAGTACACATCATACATATGTAGTAAATGAAGGTATCTGCTAAATTAATGAGCTATAGCATTATATCTGGATCTCTGAAGGTAAGTATGGAAAGAAGAAAGAAATATATTTAGATCATAAACCCCCTGAAGGCAGGAAACCATATGCTGTTCTTCACTGCACACAAATTATTTCTATCTGAAAATTACTAGACAAAACACAGTGCAGTGCAGAACACAAACTCTGGAGCCAGAATGCTGGGCTTAAATTCCCTGGCTCCACCAGCACTATGTGTGTGACCTTGGCCTTCCTCCTAAGATGCTGTGAGAATTAAGGAGTTAATATTTGTAGATTGCTTAGAACTGCGCCTGGAATACAGAAAGTACTATACATGTGTTTTTAAAATAATAATAATATATCGTAAAGAGCAAAGGGCCAGGAAAAAAGTTTCTGATTCTGAGCTCTGCCTGCCACATGTTATCAGAGGTGCATACTGGGTCTGTGGTGAATATAATGGAATGGAATAGAGCCTCACCTAATCACACTGTTGGTGCATGGTACTTTGACAAGACATGACTGATTAGATATTTTTCCTTGTTATAGGATATTGGATTTTATTGGTAATGAAACTATTTTAAGCCAAGAACTGAACTGCAAATTGGGACATGATTCCCCCCAAAATCTGGTAATACTTTGTAATGATAAACTTGTAAGAAAGAGTACTTGAACTCCAAAACAGTTTGAGCTTTTGGACACAAGAGTTAGAGGGAACCAGTAGCCCATTGGAAGCCAAAATAAACAAACATGCATCTAGGTGGAAGGGGAAGACAGATGCTTCCAAATATATCAGTGTCACTCAAGCAAAATGCACAGTGCCCAGAATTCCCTTCTCATATTATTTTCTTACGTAACCACAGGATGTGTGCGTCTCTATTACAGCCGGCTCAAGTATAGCAGTGATTTCATATGAAGAGACCGTATTTTCAAACTTTGTTACTATTATTTGGGAAGATACTATTACTCCTTTTCCCCCAGCCAGGATCGGTTTAAGCAACAAAAAGGTAGCTCTTACCCATATATCTTATATAGATCATATTCTAAATAAAGTATAAAACTGGCCATGTTTTGTAATAACCTTGACATAGGCTGAAATTTTAACTCACGTCTCAGACTACAGGGACTAAATAGGAAATGGGATTGTCAGTCAAATTATGTTGTATTATCCTGTCATATGAACTGCCCTGTCCTTGCAATATTTATAACACACTGTATCAGCAGAATGGCCCAATACCAAGGAGCAAGAACAGTTTTAGCCAGTCTGAAAACAGGTGCACAAGCTGTGTATGTGAAATAAAAACTAAACGAACAGTTATGTCAACCGCACCAGCAAATGTGGGATTAGCAAATGCCAAGAGCAGCACTTTTGGAAATAAAAGCTCCTGATTACTCACACAATTTTGAAGATATATATTTAGTGGGAAAATACATATAACCTGGCCACTACTGCAACTAAACTTGAGACTTGTGAGCCTGCTGATGAGAATTTAGAAATTCTGGATGTTGACAGACTAATCTCTAAGTCACTTCCTTCTTCCCCTCTTCTTGAGCGATCTGTGGAATATTCCCTCAGAAATCATCTTACTGGACTACATGAAAATTGTCTTATTGACTAAACACATTTTTATTGGAAGGACTTCCAAATCTGAAGCCTTTGTGCCACCTTCAAGAAAGCAAAGGATAGAGTGTTGTAATAAACTGCTTGGAGTGTTAGATGCAGCAAGGTAGAGGAAGAACAGAGGAACACTGGAAAATCAAAAATCTGAATTTGAGTTCCAGCTATGCCAATTTCTTGTTTCCTCCACTGGGGCGAGTCATTACTGAATCTCTCAGAGTTTTTTCATACATGTAATAACAAATTCTACTTCATGAGGTTGTATTGGGAATTAAATGAATTTTCTACGTGAAAGTATGCAACATAATGTCCTACCAATAAATGATGTTAAATATATATAAATAAAATTGAATAATAATCGCCCTGGCTGGTGTGACTCAGTGGATTCAGTGCCAGCCTAGGAATCAAAGGGTCACCGGTTCGATTCCCAGTCAGGGCATGTGCCTGGGTTGCAGGCCAGGTCTCCAATAAGGGCTGTTTGAAAGGCAACCACACATTGATGTTTCTCTCTCCCCCCCAAAAAAATAAATAAAATATATTTTTTTAAATTTTATTTTAATTTATTTTTTCAAATACATTTGTCTCTGCCTACCCCCCACCACTTTCCCTTGCCCTCTCCCTCTTTCCCTCCTTCAGCTCTTCCCCTTTGGTTTTGTCCATGAGTCCTTGCTATATGTTCCTTGACTTTCCCCTTCCTAATCAATGTTACAATATATTGTAACCCTGCTTTTGTATTAGGAATTCTATAAGCTTTTCAATTAATATAATTGGTCCTTGTCAAAAAGAAAAAAATTCTACAATAAACTATATGCTTCCATATGCCGATATGTTTTTCTTCATAGCACTCATTATCTTTAAATGAAAAATATAATTTATTTATTTAAAATGTTTATTTCTGTCTCCACACAGCATAAAAGAAGGCCAATTAAAGTATGTATTTTTGTTTGTTTTGTTCACTTTTGTTTCCCCAGCCTAAGGACAGTATTTGGAACATAATGGGTACATACATAATAAATAATCTTTGAATGAATGAATGTAAAATCTTTTTTTTATATGTAAAAGTCTTTGTTATAAATACTACCATAAAATATTGGGAATACAAAGGGGAAATAGTTTATGTTAAGAAATTTACTTAAGTAGAATTGTGAATAGTAATAAGAATTACAAAAATAGAGTTAAATATCTGAGCAAAATAATGAATTTCAGTAAAAAATATACATAAAAAACTATATTATAAAAGTACCATATTTCTCACACTTTTTCTTAAAATATACATTTTTTTAACAGTCTATTTTTTTCTCTTAAAAATATTTATTTATTTTTAGAGAAGGGAAAGGAGAGAGAAAGAGAGGGAGAAGAACATCAGTGTGTGGTTGCCTCTCAAGTGCTCCCTACTGGGGACCTGGCCCACAAGCCAGACAGGTGCCCTGACTGGGAATTGAACCACGACCCTTTGGTTCACAATCCGGTACTCAATCCACTGAGCCACACCAGCCAGGGCTCATCCACACTTTTAAAAAGTTTTCACCAAGACTCACCAGAAAACCAAGAAATACAGCTCTTTAAAATATGGTAGGAATCAAAAATAAAACTTCCCTTTCTATACAATGGAAAGACTATTTCTGGATTTATTAAAGTAGCCATGTATTTGTGACAACTTTTGAGGTTTTTACAAAAATATAGTAGACCTAAGATGTATGTCACATATACCTAAAAGTCAAATTACCTTGCTGGTCTATATTCTTGATATGTTAGAAATATTACAGAGCCTATTATTATGAATTATGTTTTAATTTTTCCACTGTAAGAATAAAAGATTTTTTTCAATTGATGAAATATACACTTCATCAAATGTCACAGAACTTAAAAAATAAAATGGATAAAGTTTGCTAAGATGTGTATCTTAGACATTTTCTTCTTAAAAATTATTTATAACTGCAGGATGGGTTAGGGACCATAGGTTCCCTGGAAGTGCAAGCAGAGCCTCT